AACTCACACTGGTTCACAATAATTGTTGATCCTACTATCTCAAAGAACGCAATAGAAATGATTGACCATCAATATGGACATTATCACATAGAATTTTGAGGTAATTTTTCTGTTACCATACCCTTTGTTAATGACAGAAGTAGTTACCAGTTCGCATTATCAGGAGAAAAGGAAAGTAAGTTCCAGCGATCTCTCATTTTGGGAATTCTAATTACTAATTATATCTAAACAATTAACTTCCAGGTAGAAGGATTCTAAACAGAGGTATTAAAGATTAAATAACGCTCTGTTATTACAGTTACGACAGTATTAGAAAAATTTAATAATTTTGTTAGTTTTGATGTGACATTTTTTTTCAAATCTAAAGGAAAAACATGTTTTTGTTTATTTGACATGTTAGTTTGTTCATTGCAGGTTTACCAGACTATTATTGTAGAGTGAAATTAAAATTATATTGCAAAAGAGCGCAAATCGGCAGATTAAGGAAACTATAGTAGTTAGATATTTCTATTATGAAAATTGCAAAGCGCAAACCGGTCGATTTCATGTAAGGGCGCAAAATGGTCAAGCGCAAACCAGCTGTATTCATCCAGTAGAAGACATTGTTTTACGCTTAATAAAACCGATAAAAAATACAAACAGGAACATTACTGGTGATAATTGGTTCACTTGCCTTACTTTATTACGAAAATTAAAGGAGAAAAACCTAACATATGATGAACTAATTCACAAAAATAGAAAACAAATACCAAAAGAACTGTTACCAATAAAAGAAAAGTTGTTGACATCCATTTTTGCTTTTCACAATGATAGCACTAAGCCATCAACAGCGGTTCTGTTATTATCTAGTATGAATTTTGACGATGGAACAGATAACTTAACGCTAGACAAAGAAACCACTGATAGTGTCGTTTTATAATATGGCAAAGGTAGGCGTTGATAGAAAATCACTTGAACCTGATGAGGTGCATGGTGAACTTTTAAAGCTATTAGCGGCACGCCAAATAACTGCTCTTACAAAATTATTCGACAACATCTACGAGACTAGTTACTTACTAAAATACTGCTTATCTTATTATATTTATTTTATTATACTTTCTAATTATCAATATTCATTCCACTTCCTAAAAAAGCCAACGCTAGAAAATGTGAAGAACATAGATTAATTAGTTTGATGAGCCATGTACTTAAAGTACTCCTTACTATCATTCACTCGCGTATATACACCAAATTGGAAGAACACCTGAGTGAAGTTCAATTTGGATTCAGAGCAGGATTCGCAACGAGAGGAGCACTTTTTACTTTGCAAGTTCTAATACAAAAAGCTAGAGATGTCAACTGCGATGTGTATGCATGTTTCATTGATTTTGAGAAGGCATTTGATAAAATCCCACATGGGAAACTAATCGATATCCTAAAAACATTAGGACTCGATGGTAAGGATATAAGACTGAGTTCAAACTTATAACTCCAACAAAAAGCAACAGTACGATTAAAAAGTGAACTGTCCGAGATCTTCATAGTTGAAAAAGGAGTTAGACAGGGTTGCATATTGTCACCGGCATTATTTAATATATATTCTGAAAACATCTTTAGAGAGAACACTAGATATGCAGACAATACAGTGTTGCTGGCAGATACTGCGCATGGGCTCCAAAGGATGATGGATAACGTTGTAGAAACACGTAACAAACACGACATAAAACCTAATTGCAAGAAGACCAAAATAATAATCATTAGTTAGAACACCGACATAAACGCCCAAATGACAACTAACGATATACCGTTAGAAAGAGTGAAAGAAATATGCTGTTTGGGCTACAATGTTATGAATACTACTTGGGATCACAGCTACGAAATAAAAACTCGTATTAAAAAAGCCAGAAGCTCTTTCAACAGCCTTAGGAAGATTCTCTGCAACTTATCTTTAAGTGTCGATATACGCATAAGAATCCTTAGATGTTACGTCTTTAGTGTCCTCTATGGAGTAGAAAGCTGAAGCCTTACAGAAGATGCCAAAAAACGTTTGGAGGCATTTGAAATATGGTACTACCGACATATGTTGAGGGTCTCATATATACACCAAACAAGTAACATAACTATACTCCAAAGGCTAAGAAAAGACAAAGAAATTATTCACACCATAAAAAACAGAAAACTGATAGAATGAAGATAGATTCTACCATACGAAATTCGTTGTGATAATCTTTAATTATTTTATCTGCTTTTGTGGGTTTCTGGTTTGTTAAGTTAACTACTACTTTATAATATATATTCAGAAGTATTTCACTTGTATATTTCCTACAAAACTCCCATATTCTTCTACGTCTTTCTCTTCCTCAATTTAATTGTTTTTTAGTTTTTTGCATACTTTTTGGCTCAAGATGTAGGTAGGATTCTGAATTTACGGTTCTATATGTTCCGATAAGTCAGCTAATTAAGTAATTCCTCAAAATACAATGTTTTGTACTTTGAGAACGATTTCCGAAGTAAAAAATCAAAACGACATAGAAATTTATCTTAGACTTAAATTGTGGCTTATTTCCAACAAAACTAGTAAATTGCAACAAGATGCTACAAGAAAATAGCTTTAGAACAGTATTTTCAAATACGACATCCAGTATTATTTGTTTGTTAATTGTTTTCTATAATATTTTTTTTCCTATTTTGATATTTTCTTATGAGCTTTTTCCACCTTGTCTGTGTCTTTACGTTAAGAAGATGGCTTAATGTGAAGACACAGTGTAGTGGAGTAACGGATTGTTTTGTACATAGAAGCTGACACCATTTTTTCGGTGGATTTTTTACTGCTATAAAATATTAAGTGACGTTCTTTTTAATTTCACTTGAGTTTTTTCATGGTATTTTTTCTACCGCTGTGAGATCTATATTATAAATAATTATATGTTTGGTTACTTTCTCCAGTTCTCGTATGTTAATATCGCTTTCGTTTTCTAAGTCGCTATTTTCGTTTGCTAGTATTCTTTTTTTTTTACTATTTCTCCTAATATTGGTCTTCTTTTGCGATTTTCCAGTGCGATATGTTTTTTTCCTGCGTTTTGTTTTTCGTTCTAAATAATTTTCCTTTACTTTTACTTTATTTGTGTCTTTCTACATCTCCTGTCTGTCTTTGTACTAATCCTTGCCATTTTCCCTCTTACTTAATCCGATCTATATACTTATTCATTTATAGAAGTTTTTTTTATCTCCTTTACTTAAAACGTCAATCCGATATGTAGTGTGTGTTGTGTTCTGTACATAGGATGACCTCTATATAACACATCAGCACATCAGAAAGGAAGTATGGATATATATGTTTAATCTAGAATTATCTCATTTCTCCTCTTTGCCTTGATTATGTACATATATTACGACATATCAAAAAATAAGCAAGAAGACTGTAGCATACTATCTTTAAAGCAGGTAAAATAAAACAATGAATATGATAAATACGTTTAATTTTAAACAATAAATATCCACAAATTAATTGGGACGTAACAACGATGTAAAAAGCAATATTTATTTATAGCCAAGGATAATTTTACAAAAGATGAATGTACAAGCCACGGTCACTCAAAGGATTAAACTCTCAAAAATGGTAAAAAACATCGATATATGTAATAATATAACTAATCGGTGGTAAAATGAATCAACCTTGTTAATAAAAACACACAAAATACAATCTAAAAACAAAACAATGAATCAATCAGAATGAATGTTGTTTTGTTGTTTGTTTGTGTTTAAATGACTGCGGACACTAAATCCATTCGCCAATCTTACAATTTGAGGTGTAGTGTGTGTGTGAGTGTGTGTGTGTGTGTGTGTGTGTGTGTGTGTGTGTGTGTGTAGAGTAATTGTCTTGATACTTAGCAAAGTCGACGTCATTGTCTTTGCTAAGAGACGCTTATTGTATCCGAACGTCTGCGGTCCCTCCGGTGTGTACCGATCACACAAGGATAGAAATTATTTTCATTTATTAATTTTTTAATTTTTTTAATAAACGAAAATTTCCACCCAGGTGCGATTCGAACTCACGACCTTTAGGTTTAAAGGCAGGCGCTCTTACCACTGAGCCACAGAGGGGGTCATCAGAATGAATGAAAATCAGTAATATACTACACATTCAATTAATAGTAAAATTAATACAATTTAATAAAATTAGCACCTGAATTGTACGCAATGATGGTGATATTAATGCAATAAAATAAGTTTTTAATTAATAATAAATCAACAAAAATACAATAAAAAATCTTTAGACAAACGTAAACTGTTCTCAACGGGCGAGAAAATGTAACAAGTTCAGCACAATAAAATGAATTCGCAACAAATGTAAATACCTAATAAGTGCACGGTACTTGATATATGACACCAACAATGTAAGTTTATAACAAATACTGTTTTTACTCAAACCTTGAATCGCCACGTGGGATTAACGATGGCGGCAGCGGGGTGCTACCGCGTAGATAAAGGCAATTGTCTTGTCAGTAGGCCAGGATCACAGTGATGAGTTGAGATTGCAAAATTCAACTCCGGATTACTGTATACCGCAATCTCGGTGGGAAATGCAGGTGGAAGCGTTGCTTAATACTGTTGCTTAATGCTTACTGCTGGTTAATACTGTTGCCCTAATACTGACATCGAGTGCTAATTTGATTCGTACCACTGGCAATTGAATGGGGTTGTCGGTACGACTTAGCAATAATTTTAATTTAATATTTAATTATTCTTTACAAACGAAACTGCAGCAGTTTGTAACTATTCTTTTCGATTGAGATGAGAACATAATGTTTTTAAAACAACATTATGTGTGTTAATCCACGTCAGTGGCCGATGTATCCAAGTGGAACCTGAGCAAATGGCCCGCCTGCAGGCCGTAATAATTTAAATTTAGTTTAAAATATCATAGATATTAATATTTAATAATTATAACAACGTTGCTTGATTATTGCTTTATTGCATTATTGCTTTAGAATTATTAAAAATAAATAAAATTTGATTTTGTTTTGTTAATATCTATATTTCATATTTCCAAAATGTCTTCACCCTACGCTCTCATAGAAGAAGAAAAATATCCTTATCAGTCTTAAACAATGCATCATGTAAAATATTATAGTTTAATTATGATAACAAAGTAAAAACACAATAACAATAATACAATCAATAATAAATTATATAATAACAAATTATTTAATCGTTACAATTCACAAAATCACAATATTAGTTCGTACGAGGTATAAAGTTCAAATTAATTGCGTGTGCACTCCTTAGCACTAAATCAGTTATTATTTCAACTTTTTCATTTTTATCAGCGAGTTCCACTGAGAAATTCTGCATAATTCCACAAAGAATAGCTTTCATCTCATACATTGCAAATCTCTGACCTAAAATAAATTTGTTAAATGTTATTTACCATTGAATCTGGAGGACATTGTATATTTCTTTATTACAGTTTCCTATTATTCTATATGTATCTCTTAGCAAATCAACTCATAACAAAAAAGAAAACAACTTTTAATTTTCATGAAGCTCTCAGGATATTTCGGCGTAGTGAGCATAGGTTGTAATAAACTTTTTAATTAGCTTTTGGGCTAGAATATTTTCTTGTGGGCTGCATAAGTTCCTTTTTTCATTTTCGAACATCTTTCACCAAGCGGTTATTGTAATATGTTCTGTATTGTAGAATGATTTTGGTTCAATAAAAAAATAGTAGCCCATTCTTCAGATGACTATTAGTTTAGCAGGATTTAGCCAGTTGGCTAAGAAGAAACTGTTTCTTGTTCCAAACTGTTACGAAGTCACAAGTTGTAGCCGTAGACTTTAGTATAGCTTTACCGTTAGACACAAACAAAGATATAGGAAAAGAGTATATAAGATAGATGAATCAGGCTAGGAGACATTTTTTTACATCTTTAAAGATAATAAGGAAAATCTGCATACAGACACCTGTGACTCAACTAGAGAGTGTTGGGTTCCTAATATCCTAACAAAGTTGTGCGAGGACGAGATGCCCGAGAGGATTAGACCTTTAACACTTTATTCCGCCACTACTCTGAGACGGTAGGGATACACCTAAAAACCTCTTCTTTGTTACTCCAGGTATTCGAATGGAAGGGCCGGTTAAGGCAAACATCTCTCCTGATGCCCTGCTGTCACTCTATTGCCATTCTTTCTTTCACACATTCATCGGAAAACCACACCCCCATTAACCACTAAAGGCTTTCAACTTCTTTTAATCCCCTCTCTCCTTAGGAAGACTGCTATCTTTCTCGCGTCGCCTCTCTCATATTCTCCCCTATTTCGCCCCCTATAAGTCCAAACTTTACCGAGGTACTATTCGCTCGTTTTAGAATTCTGTTGGGAGTTTTCTCTCCTCTCGTTCTATTGAAGAAAGCAGCTCCCTAATAAATTTGTAGATCCGTGTCCACCACCACTTTTTTTTTACCATTTTAGAAACATTCTACAGTTACACTCTCTTTCAAACGTCTCTTTTTTATCAACTTAACAACTCACACTCCAACACCGTGTGTGTCACAGTATCTGAAAGACCGCAGTAGAGGCACTGATCGGATTGTGCCCTCCTAAACCTGAAAAGGGAGCTACGGAAGCATCCATAGCTTGTGAGTATTTGCGTCAGGAAATTATCCAGGTGCCTACACCCAAAGTCCTTCCAGCTTCAAAGGTTTGAGATTGGTGACTTCGTCCACTCCGCTACATCACGTGTTGCCTTCCACTCGTCCTGACACTGTCTGATTGAAACAACTATAAATCCTGGCCCTTTCACCTGCCAACATTTGTAAAAGAATACAGCTGGTGATCACCGTAAGAGTGGCAGCTGTCACAGTCCTGTAGGCATATGCTACCTGCAGCAAACTAGTTCTGTCGACGTGTACGATAAGCCCCTTATAAGTTGGTATTTCTACCGCCTTACTTCAGACTGGGCCCGCGAGGACGACATCCACCGATATCGGAATATTATCCTCCCCAACTATTCTCTGAATAGCTACGCAAGTCACCCCCATCAAAGGTCCCCATAACACTTACCCTGCTGGTGAGTATCTCCCAGATACTTGACGTACTTTATAAGCGTTACTCTTGCTTCCGCGGACTTAAATACAACTCTGTCTCTCTTTCTGTTCCCCTTTGAGTACTACAGCCCCGATATTATCCTCCGCGAGAGAAAGATCATGATCGTTCACAGAATCCTCAACGAGGACACACGTACGTGTAATCCAAAGCAGAAGGTATCGTCATAAAGTATTGTGCCTTGCCGTCAATAGCATAGCGAGGTCTACCGCGAATGCGAAGGGGGTAACACATATTCGCAATTTAAGACTCCATCATATGCCAGGTTCCACAGCGTTGGATCCAGGATAGAGTCTTGCAGGACCTTAGCCGTTACATGTACGATCACACCATTCTCCACCACAATTTTTCTCTCGGAAAGATCATCAACGACCACGTTTCTCAGATAACCCGGAGAATAACGTGACAAAGAGCTCATTACGTGACTCCACTGAAGTGTATTAAAAGTATTTCAGACATCAAATAAAATCGTGATGACCCATCGGTGATCAGCCCCAATTCCCCATATCGCCCAAAGCATATCGGTCACCGCATCCATTACCACCAAAACTACTGATAATATTTACAACTCTAATGCTCTAGCCTCATCAAATACTTCTTCTTCTTCTTCCATTTTATAAGCAAGTCTGCTTGTTTAATGGTGGATTGATATATATGTGGAGGATTATCACTCCATTCTGGACCACACCGGTCTCCCCCATCCATAGGTATGTTAATCATTATAACGACGATTTTAGAATACATATGTAATTATAAATATTGTTTTATATAGTATATTATGAAAAAAAGAAGAGAATGGTTTCAGATATACTGTATAAAGAGCTATAAAATTTGTGGTGCATTATTTCTTACCAATACAATTTCTGGGTCCAGCGCTGAAAGGTACAAAAGCAAATGGATGTCTATTCACACAATTTTCAGGTAAAAACCGATCGGGATCAAACTTCTCAGGTTCTGGCCAATATTTCGGATTTCTGTGAATGTCATAAATCCAGATATCAATAGTGGCTTCCTTGGGAATCAAATGTCCATTTAGTTCTATATCTTCATCTAACGTCCTTGCTATTAAAGGCACGGCGGGGAAAAGACGTAGAGTTTCTTTAATAAATCGTTCCATTACCTTTAGTTCATTTAGGTCGTTTAGGTCTGGTTGTTTTTGTGCGTCTCCTAATACAGATATAATTTCTTCATAAATTTGATCCTTAAAATAAGGTTTGCATTAAATAAAATATTAGTTATTAAACAAACAAGTTTGTTTATTACCTGATATTCTTTATGTATTGCCAATTGACGTAAAGCCCATGATAAACCTGTGGCAGTTGTATCGTGCCCCTAATGAACATACAGATTGTTAGTATAACTTAATCAAATAGTACAATAATATCTTTAATTAAAATTTGTTCTAGTTAACGTGTTTGTAGTATACTTTTCTTTAAAAGTAGATTAATATTTCTTAAAGATGGATTTACTAAAGGAATTACTTGCAAAAGATTAAAATATTCTACAATGGGTAAACAGCATCTGGCCGGAAACAACTATAAGGGTTGCTGTACCAACACGAAATGCGCTGAAGAAATATAGCATAACGATGAAAAAATACAAAGCAACTTTAATCTTGTGACATTTTTGTTAAATAGTCATGAGTGTTTGCAAATCGTGTAATACAACCCAGAATCAAGGTCATTAATGTTTATATCATTTATCGTGGTTTCGGTAAATTTAAAATATTTTTTAAAAGTTCTGAAGTATGAAAAACTCCACAAAATAAGCTTTACCGTTCTTTACTATTACTTTAAAATCGGGAATTCCAGTCATGTTATTGGTATTTGTGCTAAAATACCCTGGAGAAGAAAATTACTTTAATCTAAACTAAATCTAAAAGTTAATTTCGAGTTCTTAGAGCATTAATCAAACCTTAATTCCAATAATGAGATTATGAAGTTTTGTGTAAAAAAATTAGTGCGCCATAAATGAAAGGACTACCGAAAACACAACACAAAGTATGTGTCAGAAAGTGGTTGGCAAAAAATTCATAAAATTCGTGATCTAGAATTAATTAATCTAATATTTCACACTATTCGTTAAGTTAGTTTGATTGTCAAACTTAAATTTAATAAAATATTTCAAAAGATTTATCAGTTTGTAACACAACCAACAATGAAGAATGTTTGAGGGCACACACAATGAAATGAAAATGATTTATGTTAAAGAGTACGATTATCAGAAGTTATTTGTGATTATTTCTAAAAAACATTTTATTATTATCAAGCACAGACGAGATAGTAATTCTGCTAGATAAATAGTGCTAATGACAACCTAATAGAAGTAACTAAAAATCTAACTAGAAATAAGAGAATGCTTCGATTGAAGTCTTTGGTGAAACTTGTCTTGACAAAAAAGGGAACACCATATTTTTTTTCAAGATAAAGTTGCATCTATTGTATACATAAAATACTTACTTCAAACATAAATGTATTCACTTCATCTTTAATACCTTGGTCATCGATAATACCCTTGGAAATTTTTGCATTCAACAATAAATCTAGAAAAGCTAGTTTTTTCCTCTTTATGTCGCCATCTGTATTAACTTCAAAAGGTTTAAAATCTCTTGATCTTTCTAGTACAATACGTTCTGTAAAGCTGTGCAGCGTTAATAAGACTTGTTTGAGTCTAGCTCCAATAGAAGATAATATACTAAATACAAATAAAGAATGGAACCAAGGTCTTACTATTCTGTATATCAAGATTTCACCCATTTCATGTATTGCAGATACGTAATTTTTGTCGTCTTTGTTGGTCATATCTAGCGTTGTTCCAAAAGATGTTTCTAAAAGTATGAAATTAAAATATCATTAAGATATCTAAACTTTATTAATTCTATTAAGTAGTTATTTTTGGGCATTAAAATGCCTATAATTATAATAATACCAAACATTTCCTACAGATGAAAGGGGACAAGCAAGAGAAAAAGTGTTTAAATTTGAGAGGAAGAGTAATTTCAAGTATCCAGAGGTGATCTGTCCAAACAATGCTGGGGAAAATATGGAGATTGAAAAAAGAATGGCAAGAGGAAATAGAGCTATTATAGCTATTATATTATAACCTTAAAATAGAATCACAAATATTATCTCGTCTCCAGCAAACTAATGGAAGAAGATACTATACCGTAATATTTCCTGTCGTAATATACAGAAATCAAATCTGCGATTTGGCCGAGTACCATAGCTGGGTATAAATATCTAAAGAAAATACTTTTGGTAAGTGAGGGCAAAAAGCGAAGAAGAGGAAGGGTGAAAAAGGATTTGTTGAAAAAATAAAAATATATTCTGTTGTTAGGGAACCTACCGGATTGAGAAAATAAAACAGTGTTTAAAAAGAATTTAAGAGCGTTTCATATGGTGCTTGTTAACAGAAATTTATATTTAGAGATACAAATAACAAGTCAAATTTATAAAAAAAATACTTAAACAATAAATAAATTATTAACACTGAAAAGATACTATACCTGCAATAGTGTTTAAAGCGGTTTGAGAAATTAATGGAACTATATTTGTGGCCGATTTCTTATTTTCTTGTTTGATATTCTCGACTAACCTAGCAGTCTCTTTATTAAACACTTTTACGAACTCCTGTAAAATACTGAAGTGAAATGCAGGTGTCAAAATCTTTCTTCTTTGCTGCCACAGGGAACCTAAAGAAAACAATCTAGTTATAGTTATAGATATAGTTTCTTAGCAATATTGTTGCAGTTTTGGTCTAGTCTATATAGTTAATTTTATTTAGGTATCAGTAGTAGAATCCAAAAGCAGCAGAAATTTTTAAATGGTGATTATAAAAAACATTATCAATAGTGAAAAAAATATTTTTGACATTTTGGAAGATACCATCTTATAATTGAACATTACTATTTTATATTACACCTTAGAAATTCTTAAGAATTAAGAATTAGTTAGAAATTTTTAACACTAAATTAAGCCGAAATCTGTCAGAACGTGGAGCGGCGTTTTTCATCGACGAAGAGAAATGAAAAATAGCTAATAGAAAAAGACTAAATCTAAAGAAGGGAACCAATTCAACGTGAAATACCGCCTTTCCCCTTAATATTTGTGGTTTACGATACCTGAGATAGAACAAACTGTCTTGTCGTTTGTAGGTAAATCAACAACACGGTTGAGAGGAAGTTGGAAGCTGATGTATAGCACTTATAACCCGACAAGCGAGAGCTGGCGGGTTGCGCGTAGAAGAAATTGAAAAGTATAAGGAATTGCTCATTTCTATTGCAGTCGGCTAGGAGTTCACATCGTGTATAACCGTTTAAGTACCTATACTATATACCTATAATCGCGATTAAGTACCTCTCCTATCTCTCTTAGAATAATTCCTTTTCTATTTTCTCGTGGTTCACCCGCCAGCTCTCGCTTGTCGGAATATACTTACCGCTAAAATTCTTCGGACGCAGACTTTGTACGGTCAGTGTCGTGGTATTTTTATTATGGAGTGCTCTAACGAAGTTGCGTCGGAATTTTTATCATTGTATAAATTACCCAACTTATTAAAATTTTTACCGTCAACACTGGTGCACAAAACTAAACTTAACCCTTGACGTAGACGTTCCATTGGAATAGTTATCAAAAAATAAACATTTATTAATTTTATCTATTTTCTATTTCTCTTTGCCAACGTGAACCAGCAAAGAGCTCCTTTCCACGTTCTGTAATATGCCGACTTTATATTTTATCTCAAAAGAAACAAATTACCTGAATTTGTCAAAAGACCTTTTCCAAGCCATGGTTCTACAAGTGAGTAACTAAATCCTTTGCTAAGATGTTTAGATCCAGCGGCGATTTTCTTAAAAAATATATATATTATTAGCATTAAATGAAATATCAATAGCCGATATTTAAAAATTCATTTTATTTTGATTACAAATCACCATCATAGTTATCTTTTACAATCAATATTAATTTATTATCTGTAGTATGTCTAGAAAGTATATGGAATATCATATTTATTACTGGATAATGTTGACATATTTATCTAATCATTTATCAGTTCAAAACGTTTTAAGGTATTAGAATTGGTATTCACCTTAAACACAGGCATACTTTTAAAAAATCACACAAACACAGGCTTTCAATTTAACGGTACTCCTGAGGTTCACAATTATAATTTTGTAAGAGTCGCCATCTTGAGCTTGAATTTCTAAATATGTCCTAATGTAGATATAGCAAAAGCCATGTACAAAGACCTATAACTAATTTAGCGATAATTAGTGAACCTCAAATAGTGGCTGTAGAATTTAATAATTCCAATCACTTGAAAAGTAAATGGTATTATTTTCTACGTTTTATGTGCAGTAAGAATATGAGGTTTTTAGAACTGAATATACTATTTATTTATAATTTATTACACATAAAATTTATTTTATTAATGTCAGTTTAAATACCTATACAATGCTAATAGCCAATTAAAAATTTACATTTTTGAGAGGATGCAGTTTTACTTTTTGGTGTGTGGGAGTGGTTAGTATAAGCTTAAGTTAAAGTTTGTGTGATCACCACCTTTGTCTCCCGCCACCATTTTGGAAAAAAGGGAGCAAAGGTTTTTCGTTTTCTCGCTGTATTTTGTAAATTAGCAAACCTACAGAAGATTTTATAAAACATAATTTGTAGGAAATAAACTTATCTATAACTGTATTTGTATTAATTTATTCGTAAAGTTGAAAATGAAAATATTATAAACAAAAATAAAAAAAACTTTTTGAACAAATGTTCTTTTGGGCCTTTGTAGTCATTTTATAATAAAATGGCATCAAAGAAATATTATAGAGGGCTTATAGAGTAATTTTTACTATAAATTTGTTAAATTTCATGAATTTCTCTGGATTGTAGAGTGTTCCGAAGTTGACCGAGTTCTTGGATACGTTATGTTGGAATAAGGGCTTCAAAGGGTTTTCACGCCGTACATATCTCGTAAATTAGCAATCCTCAAAAAAATTGTAATAACATTATTTGTTTTTTCATAAAATAGAAAATAAAAAAGTTAACAAAAATAAGTAACAATTTTTGAACATATTTTCTTTTGGACCATATAACCTTTTTTCTGGTCATTTTACAAAAAAAAAGACATCGGAGCAATATTATAGAAGGTTTTTAACAAATTATTTTAACTACAAATGTGTTCAATTATAATAATTTCGGTGGGATTTTCAGGCGAGAAAATATTGACCTTAATTATTTATGTATTAAAAAAGTTGTTTTCCACATATTGGTTTTTCATTTTTTTTTAAAGATCTAGGCTGCGGTTCTGGATCTAATTCAGTATCGAAGGTGAATTTTTGCGAACGAAAGGAAGTTAGAATGGCCGCAATGTGGGTAACATTTTTGTATTCTTCGAATTTTTCGATTAATTATAATATTTCTATGTCACTGCAGGTTTCACCAGAACAAGTGAGGCACATTGTAGAGTAGAGCATTTGAGGCCTAGTTGTCGGCAACCACACATTCTTTCACAGTTTCACTTACATGTGCATAAAATTAATTTCAGCAGTGCGGGGTGTGCTGGGTTTAGAAAGTTTTGATTAACATCCAAATCTTTCCAAGTCCCCTTGGACTGCTCTCTTCAAAATACCGTGAGCAAGATAAGAATGTCAATGTCCTTTGCTACGACAGTTACAGAATCATAGGCTTGGAATGCAGCAAGAGCAGAACGGATGATAACTGTATCTGCATCAGATTCAGCCTGGTCGACCCTAAAGCCTACTTCTAATAGAGCAGTTTTGAGAAGGTCTATTAAGCTTGTTTTGTACTTTTGACTACCAAGAAATTTATCTTGCAATAATATTGGTAAGGTGCTCTTCTTAAAATTTATCTCGGTCCATTGGAACTTTTTCGTGTGACGTAAGCGTACGATGTGGGGTAAGTTTTGTGGTGGCGGAATGGGTCGATAAGAAATTGTTAATAACATAGGAAGATGGCACCCCTTATTCTAATTATTAATCTAACCTTTTATTTAAGAACCCGGCCAAGTTTGGAGCGGTGTAAAATCCAAACCTACATTACCCATCACATGAAATTAGACAAAAATCACTAAAACGTGTTTGTTAATAGATTCACTGTATAAGTACCTACGATAATATTATATTCCGTACCATTTCGAAAACTTGTTAAGCAGTGCTGATTTAGACAATAAAGCAGTAAAATATTATACATAAAGATGTTATATTAGATATCTTCGCTTAATTGGTCCACTAGTAATAAAGTTATCACAATTAAATAGGAAACCGGTCTTCACACATGGTCTTTACTTTATTTTCATACAATTTTCTCTAGTGATAAAATGAACGTTCACTATGAGCATCATTGTATCTGTTTAGAAATCTTATTTGCTGAATTTTGAAAATAAATTCAAATATACCTACCTCGAACTCTTCAGCTCCAGAGATACATACTATCGCCTTGTTAAATACAACAAATGAATAAACTGGAGAGTATTTTTGACCCCATTCTCGAAATTTTTTAAATAGTTGCACTAGAAAAGATAAGATTTGATATAAGTAGTAAAATAAACATGAATAAAACAATAAAATAATAAAATAAAATAAACAAATAAAATTCCTAGCAAGTGAAGATATTTAGCTCTAGTGTGGTATTAGATAGGTTGGTGTTAAAGCGAGTTTCCTTTTGGGACTTAGTTTATTAAACTCGTAATAAAATGTGTTTATATTCACAATGTTATCACTTATTATCTAACCACTTAACCATTATCTTTTGTTTATAATCACGACTTGTAATCGAAACATGTTTGTAAACACGTAATACTGACCCACTCTAACGTTGTGGGGCAAAATTCTAAATAAAATACTGCAAAGAAAATACTTCTATCTATGTGCCATATTTATACCTATGAATATCCAAATACCTGTGACTTCTCAATGTCAGCTTAATGTTCATAACAGCGGCCACATTATATTTGAATTGAAGACTATTTTTGGGGTTAATAATCAAGATTTAATAACCCTACTATAAGTAGAAATCTGAATCTGGATTTAAGACATCTAAATCGCTTGCCGGCTTGAAGGAAGCCAAACAAGACGTGGTGGCAAGTGGTTATTAAAGACATGTCTTAGACGTTAATTAAAATTTGTTTAAAAATAAAAATTTTTATAAAATACCGAAAACGAAAAATCATAAAGCAGTATTTTCTTTATAAAAATAATCGAACGTAACTTGTACAATCGGCAAAACGGTTATTAAATAGAACTAAAAATTATATGGAACTGGAAGCAATAACACTAAAATAACTTTTTAATTATTTACCTAAATATTAAATTAAATACCTGTATCCAGTGAGAATAAATCAAAGAAATTTCCAAAAATCGGCAGTTTCGGAGGTCCTGGCAACTTATAAACTTTTTTTAAAAGAGTACGTATTTTTAAAAATTTGTAAACAATATAAATAACAAACACTGCTGCTAACACGGGATATACGTTTTTAAAAACATCCATCGCTTCACACATGTATCTATTCGTGTTTGTATTTCGGAATCAAATACGAATATTTTTTGATGAAATCGCTAAAATACTGACCGTTCAAGGTTGTGGTAGTAGATGTTAATCTATTTAGTAGAAAATATTTTTAAAAAGTGATTAAGCATTTTTTGATAAAAATAACTGGTTATATAAAGATTTTATATAAAAATTATCTTTTTTAAAACATTTGATTGTTTGTGTTACACGAAGAAAGATAATATTTTGATTTATCAATATCGTATCATATCTTACAATAAAACACGTATATTATTTTTGGAGATTGGTGAAATTTGACCCTCCATGATTTTTGGTATAGATTTAATCTCAAGTCTTGTGGGAGCACAAAATATTTTAAGTGTCACTTTTAATCTATTTTCAAGTGTGATTTTAAAAAAGTCACTAAAAGTCTCTAAATGCTTGATATAGTACATAGGGACGTTGGAAGTATAGATTGAAATAAATTTAATATTTTTTTATTTAAAATTATTATCACAAAATACTTTTAGAGGTAATTTTGGTTAAGTTTACCGAAAGTACAAGCTGAATATAGCCGCAAATGTCAACCATGAAATAAAATATTTCGGTCTGGCAGTGTTGGGGTGTTTTTATAATGCTATGTATATGTTGTATGCTTCATATACAAAGAGAGAAAGCTTTTAAAAAGTACATTTTGATTATACTATTTTAGGAATTCTGCAATTTTTAATGTATATGAAATAATAAAGAGTAAATATTTATCTCTTTCGAGATTAACATAAATTGACGCGCCTCTTATCTATAAAGCTAAAACCGGAGCAGTTTTATAGAAGTTTTAGAAAACATATTTGTTAAAAAGTCGAAATTGTCGGTCTCCTAGGTAGACCGCCAAACTAATATTTTTTATCATTAGAAATTTATTATTCTAATATATTAATGGTTTGAATTTAAATAAATAATCTAAAAACCCTATGAGCGTTAATACTGCATAGTGTTATTTAAAAAAAAATCTAATTAGATCGGCCGAAGCGGTTTTGGTAATATTTGAAAAACAAATAATTTATGATTTAGAGACAATTTCATTAAAAATTACGGTATTTTGTAATTTTCCGTTGATTTTGATTTTCAGTGTTTATTTGAACATGTAGAACTTGTCACCTAGAATTATTTTTCAATTTCTCTTTAAAACATGCACACCTATTGATATGGCATTGGACTTTTGTCCCCCTATAGAAGGCTGAAGCGTAGATGCTTGCCGCAAAGTGAGAATTGCTTGTTTAGGTACATTATCAACACTGGCACATACAGATGCAGAAATTGTTAAGATACTTCTTAGAAACCACTGACATATAACACCATAAACTATTCCAATTTAGTAATCACATTTAACTACCATTATGACACGTAATATAAATGGTGATCTAAATGGTTGAGGTCAACTTTATATATTGTGAGTTTGACAGCTTTGAGCAATTTGGCAGTTTTTATTTTTGTCATTTGTAACAATAATTTTGCACTTCTAACAATATTTTTCCTTATACAAAGATGACATGTGTATGAATTTTTCATTGAAAGTATGCTGCTTGTTGGAAACATCTTCACTTCGCATTTATTGCAAGTATGAGATTTATCTTGTGGTTATGTGGTTTATTACAAATGCCGCAAAATATTTGGTAATCAGTGTTGAAGATCTTATGACCTGTGTGATACCCAGAAATAGCTGCATATTGCACCACTTCAATGACTTCGTTAATATTTTTGTTAACTATATTGACTTTGCGGTCATTAGTAGCCTCTTCTCCACACTGAGTGACATTAAAACATCATTTTTTATGTACCTATTGCGTAGATAAAGGTTCGTTGTCTTTAACACTGCTATTTAATTCTGCTGTAGTAACTGTTCTAAAAACTTTCTATAAAAGAATAAAAGATCATTTGCATAAATTTGACATTGTCATAACTTATTTTCTTTCCTTCACACATGATTCTTTGAAAAATAAATGGAGGGTGTCAAATTTAAAGTTAAAACAAGTGGAACCCCACATAGAGACATGGAATAAATTCCTACCTCGATGAGCCGAGAAATAATAATAACGCGTCTAAGAGTCGGTCATACTAGGTTAACGCATGATTGCTTATTTAAAAAGTGTGAATCACTGCGGTGTCAAACTTGTAATACCAAATTTACAATAAAACACATACTATGTGAATGTCCCCTCTATGCCAATCTACACAGTAACAAGATTTAAGTTAACTTAGAGGCTGAGCAGTCACAGTCACTGTCAAAAATAAGCAGAGCAATTGGTTTTTCACCTTCTATGGAATCCTCCATAAATTTAAATTCCATCCATACAAAATTAAATTGGTACAAGAGTTAAATGAACAAGATTTTGATCGTCATCTCCAATTTTGCGAATTAATGACACAATGCATCATTAACAACCCACAATTGTTAAGCAATATTCGCTCTTTAGATAAATGCTGATTTTTATTGAATGGCTTAGTGAATAGACATAATTGCCAGTTCTTTGCTGAGGGTGTTAAATATTATGTGTGAATTTTACTCTGGTAAAATTACTGGTATCCTAGGTGATCATATTATCGGACCCTGCGTTATCACTTGCAACTTAAATAGTGCATCGTATCTTGAGTTAATCAGCCAAGTGATTGATTGTATTAGAATAACAGTAGTAAATTATGATAATCTTTCCCAAGATTTGGTTGTATTTCAACATGATGGAGCTCCTCCACACTTTGCTTTACACGTGCGACAATTTTAAACGAAACTTTTCCCATTCGTTGGATAGGTAGAAGAGGACAGATGGTGAATTGGCCACCTAGGTCACCGGATTTAACACACCTAGACTTCTTCCTATGAGGGTATTTAAAAACAAAGAATTATGCTACTTAACCAGAATCTCAATGAATAACGACAAATAATAAAGGAAGAATATCAACAATTAAATGTAGACATGAAGTAATATAATACATGAATTTTAAAATAGATTTAATCCCTATGCAGTAGGGTGCATTTTGGTGAATTCTGTGCACTTTTCGCATATACATTTACAGACAAGTTGTTTAACATTCAATTTCGTATCGAAATGTCGGACTTGATTTTTACTAAATTTCAGTCATTTTAATCAATTATTGCAAAAATGTGTTCTAGTGAAATATTCATTCTACTTCAATGTTTGTAATAAAAAAAATTCAGAAAAGTATTTTTTTTCACTCCAATTTTCTTGATTTTGTATTTATTTTTCTCATAAATTAATCACTTTAAGCATTATGATAAGAGGATGAGAGGCCTTTCCAGAGAGCTTAAATATGAAATAATGTCTCCACCTTCACATATTAATTAACGTGTTGTTGCACTTGTTCTAAAAATTAGAAGTATTGAGTTTGAAAGGTATTTTTAAGATGGATATTTTTATCTGCAAAGCATTGTATAATTTGGCGAATTAGTAGTATTTCAGATCATCTGACAACAACGCGATTTATAAACTTGTAAACATAAACACGAATTCAAGGTTAATTACCAAAATTAACTGGTTTGTAGAGATTTCTGCTTAATAACAGCAATGATTATGTTAATTATCCAATCTCCTGTACAACAACCTTAATTTAAATATTTTACATTACGTAAACAGTGACTCTGCAGGTAACATTACAATTTAAATATCTTGCTTCCTTTTATACAAATATGCTCGCTCATACAATCGTACACTCGACAGGAAAAATAATATTAGATGAAGAAGAAATTTAGACAACATGGTATATATACCTAAATATCGTCAGATCAGTAGAACAACAGACATTAATACAAAGAACCAGCAACCAGCAACACTTTAGGTATGCTATAAAATTGTCAGAAAACAAGAAAGGTGTGGGCTTTATAACAGCCGGCAGATATGTTTAAACGAATTAAAAAGAAAACTTCATCCACTGCAGAATAAGAAATAAGCATGAAGAAGATTAAGATGAAACGCAGTTTGGTTTTAGTGATGAGTTGGGAATTAGAGAAGCATTTTTTGCATTTAATGTTTTGCTATAGAAATGTAGAGATCAAGGTAAAGATGGCTTTAATATTTTTATTGATTTTGAAAAAGCATTTAATACAGTAAATGATTTTTTTTTTATTAACACCTGCGTGGTGTTTGTATACTGCTATCTGGTCACAAATGACCAATTATCAGTTATTTTCTGACCTAACATAATAACAGCAAATACTGAAATCTAAGGGCTTACCCTAAGGCTTACTCTTATTTTATCTATTAACTAATGCACTAGAACTAGTATGCAATAACTTCACAGCACTATACTCTGCTTTTTACACTAAACTGTTACACATTTACACGAGCTCAAATGGTTTTGTCCTTATGAGTCTTCTCTTTAGTTCAGTGTTGTCAAGAAGCTGGATTGCCTCGACATTCACATGACTATGCAGCCTCTGCTCGTGACTTGCTGCTGTTCTCTTGATTATTTCGATCACAGTTTCCATACCCAGGTCCTGGTGGAGGTTGCTGTTAGGGATATACCAAGGAGCATCAACAATGTTTCTGAGTACTTTATTTTGAAATCTCTGGATAATAAGTAGATTACTAGCTTTGGTACAGCCCCAGAGTTGGCACCCATATACCCCTACTGGCCTCAGTACTTGCTTGTAGATGGATAATTTATTATGAATTGACAATGTTGAATTTTTTCCAATCAGCCAATACAATTTCTTATATCTAATATCAAGCTCCCCTCTTTTCTTTTTGACATGGACTTTCCAGCGCAGCTTCGCGTCTAGGGTGATGCCCAGGTATTTTGTTGATGTTGCATAAGGAATTCGGGTATCATTTATTCTAACTGGGAAATTTTCTATTTTTTTATTTGTAAAGTTAATGTGTGCAGATTTAGTCTCATTTAATTTTATTCGCCATTTTCTGGTCCAGTTATGTATTTTATTTACTGATAGTTGCAATTTATCAGTCGCTTCTTCACTAGTGTCTCCTATCGCTAGTATGGCTGTATCATCCGCGAAGGTGGATAGTATTTTGTACTAGCTCTGGAATGTCACACGTATACAATAGGTACAGGACCGGACCTAAGACACTT